AGACAGACAGAGAGAGACAAAGAGAACGAGAGAGAGAGAGACAGAGAACAAATAGGCAAGGAATAGTTAAAAGGGTAAGAGAGAGAGAGAGAGAGAGAGAGAGAGAGAGAGAGAGCAAATGGGCAAGGAATAGTTAAAAGGGTGAGAGTGAAGGACTGGGAGTGCAGTGAATCCTTGACCAAGTTTTTCTTTCGAAAAATTCAAGTCAAACAACAGAAATAGTAGAATCCCAGGGCTAGAAATACAGAAACGTTTGTGTGGCATTCAAGGTGAGCAACATGGAGTTTACTGAAAGCATTACTCATACAGAAACACAAAAATAGTACTGAACATAACATTAAAAAATTGCAGTCTCTAACAATGACCTCTCTCTCTCACCATGCTCTTAAGTTCGCGAGCAGACATTTTAACATTATAGAACTATATTTCTTAAACAGTTTACTAAAAGCATTACTCAGAGACAAACATAAAAATAATGGTGAACAGAGCAATTTAGATCTAACAAGGACCTCTCTCTCTCTGTCTCTCTTTCTAAAACTTCGCGAAACTCTCATCCTCGCTCTTTGACATTTCACTATCCTAAAACTTTCTATTTTAACAGTTATTCAAAGCGTTACTCAGACACACACATGAAATCGTTAATCGAACAACCTGTTCAAATAAGAACTAGATAAGAAAGATATGCCTGGAAATCGTAGTAACCAGTACTATCTTGCCAACAGGACGTTTGGCGAAACTTTTTTTCTCTATCTCTCTGACATTCCAGCATTAAAGAACTTTATTTTCTTAACAGTTACTGAAAGCCTTACTTAGAGACAGGCAAAATGTCCACTTCTCTCTTGCCAACAACCAAAAAACGCAACATCTGTTGTGTTAGGGTCCACCCTACCGTCTACACCACCAAAGAAAGACGTGGCGCCGAGCACCCTGCCTACTCATCATCAGAAGTTGGTGGAATCTCAGGAACACCGTTCGCAGTGATGACAGTACCGCCAGCCTCATTATCAGGGGGAAGGACATCCCATCCCCATCCCTCGCCTCCCCCGCCTGACCCCTCCCCCCACCCGTCATCGCCTGACCCCTCTCCCCACCCGCCACCGCCTGACCCTTCCCCCCACCCGCCACCACCAGGGACATGGGTAAGTGTCCCTCACCCATCACCTCCGCCTTCACCGTGCCCTCCTCCCTGCGATGTTCCGCCTGCACCGAGGCCCCCCTCCGACTCGGTCTGCCCCTAGCTTGTCGACGTCGTAGGGTTGGCTGCGTTGGGTAGCACTTCGGTGGTGGGCATCGTTTCAACGTCGGCACCTTGTGTGGGGTCGATGTCGTCGCTGTGTTGGCTGCAACTTGGCTTGTCGGCGTACCATCGACGGAAACACCATGCATGGGGTTGGAATTCACCCTCTGACTGTCCCCGCTGGTTTCTCTTCTTCTTCTTCTTCGTATATTTTTCTTCTTCGTCTTCTCTCTCTCTCTCTCTCTCTCTCTCTCTCTCTCTCTCTCTCTCTCTCGTGTCAAGTCCTTCGTCCCACCGTTGTTCTTCCTTCTCTGACCTTCGGCACTCGGAGTGCTGTCCGGTACGGCGGAGTTAGAGGAAGAAGAACACGGGTGGGATGAAGGAGTTGATGTGTGTGTGTGTGTGTGAGAGAGAGAGAGAGAGGGAGCACCTCCCCTAAAGAACTCACATGTCACACATGGCGGCAAACACAACACCTGACAGGTAAGAGCCCTCTTCTACGTGTCGGCAAACACAGAGATAAAGATGAGCAATAAAATTGAAGTTACAAGGTTCCCCGTGTTTCTGTGGTTGACAAGGAAATTCCCGAACAGCGCAGAGGTCAAAGTCTTAGGCAGAGAGGAGCCACTTTTTTTTTTTTTTTTTTTTTCTTTTTTTTCTTTAGGCCAAGTCTCATTCCATCAGCGTAGAGGTCAAAGTCTCAGGCCGAGAAGAACCAAGTCTCTTTTTTTTGTTTTCTCTTTTTCAGGCCAGGCCTCATTCCATCAGCGAAGAGGTCAACGTTTGAGGTTTAGTCGGGCCAAGTCCAACAGGCACCCGGTCAATAGGCACATCCCAAAGGCAAAAGTCACATTCAGTAGGCAAAAGTCACGTCTCGTATAGGAAGGTCATATCCCACAGGTATTGCAGGGA